AGGGATAGAAGACGCGATAGTCACAGGCACAGGTATTGATGATCACCTATTTCTTTTTAATCACTTCTTATTATGTTATCAATCCCCACCTTTGGTGTCTTGTTGTTTAAGGGATGAGATGGGAGCCTTGAAAACCATTTTGTTGTAGCTCATGTGTCCATCACAATGAAATCTGTAGGCTATTCAAAATAACGTCTAGCTTAGGTGTATCTGATATTCATCCTGGTAAAAATATTTTTTCAATTATTTCATGATAAGAAGCATAGACTTGAACTTAGTGCTGTTAATTTTTTGGGCTGCCTGGAGATTTTAGAAGTAGGGTTGCCTTTTTCTGGTCGTGTTTTACACTTGACAAAGTTGGTCAACTGATTAAAGCTGGCACCACTTCCCTGCAGCCAATTTATTTAAAAGCTGATTTTGTTGATACTAGTGGAAGCTGTTGTCTGGTTTTAACCTACTTATTTAGGCTATCAAATCTTATGTATCCACCATGGCATTTAAAGCCATTGATGGTGTGAAACAGCTTCCTACAGAAAATTTTCGTGGTCCTGCCAGGTTTCTCTGTACTGACAGTGTGCAGTGAGAAGTATGATGGATCAGACAATATTGGCATTAGCTGTGGTTTCAGTTGCTACTTTTACAGTTATCTTAACCCTTTCTTTTTAGTTTCTACGTAGAACCTTAAACTTTCAAGCTCTAGAACTTGGAAATTACAGCCAAGCTCCTTGGTGTTAGAAAGTTCAAGAATTTTTTTGTGTGCATGTGTGTTGAGCTTGTTGTATGTAAATCCTTTTTTCTAGTCAAAAACTAGCTTGATACTAATAAGATTGTAATTGGTGTGTCATATAACTGGAGAGCTTGCAAAACAATGTATAACAATGTTGGTTTTTTGACTTTTATTATTATAATGACACTTCAAATGTTTACGCGTTGAGGTGATTCTTGCAATATGAAAATGAAGCTAGGTTTTTTTGAACAAGACCTTTGCATCATGGTATTTATGATGTTGAATTTTCCTCGGAGTTTATAACCTAACTTCCATGTAAAATAGAATTAATTGTGTTGTAATACAGTTCTGTATTCTTTGAGTGAATCGGGGACTGGTTTTTGATCTAACGCAATTTTAATTTTTCTTTCATTTCTACAGAGACAGAGATTATGACAGAGATAGAGACTACGAAAGAGATAGAGATTATGAAAGGGAATGGGGACGCGGTCGCGAAAGAGATAGGGAAAGGGAGAGGGATAGAGAGAGGGATCGAGACCGTTATCGCTTGAGGGAGGAAAAGGAATATGGTCGTGATAGGGATCGAGATAGAGAGAGGGAAGTTAGAGAGCGTGAAAGGCGGGATAGAGACCGCGGCAGGCGAAGGAGCCATTCCAGGAGCCGTAGTAGGAGTAGGGACCGCAAGAGACATGCTCGAAGCATTAGTCCTAGAAGGCATGAAGCAGATGATGTTGGTGTTAGAGAAGAACCTAAGAAGAAGAAGGAGAAGAAAGAAAAGAAGGATGATGGTACTGACCATCCGGACCCAGAGATTGCCGAAGCCAACAGACTACGAGCAGCACTTGGGTTGAAACCATTGCGATGAGAAGATATGTTGATCTTTTGCTCTTCCTTCTCTTTTTGGTTTTGCTCGGTTTTGCTCGTCTGTACTTTTCTGTTCTTCGATAATGTTAACACATGCAACCAGACACTTACTAGGTATCTCAGCCCCCGCCTAATATCGAAGTCCGAACAAAGAAATCGTATGCAGTGACTATTATCCTTCTATACTGGTAATGAGTAATCATTATGTGTTTTATTAATCGTTGGTTTGGCTTATTATCTTCTTCTTAGTGTTTGGTTTGGTTTCACTTTAGGATAATGATGCAGCGAATCTTGAGCTGCCAACACACGGCGGACTATCGTGGTTTATATTTTTCATAAAGAAAAAATCAAAAGTAATATTTTTAGAGTGTAATTTAAGATTGTAAAATTATAACTATAATATTTCATTAAATAAATAAATAAATATAATATAATATTATGGGTAAATTTTTAAATAAATAAAATATAAATTTATTATTATAATATTTTATTAAAATGAGTAGATAGATATATATAATATTAATAGTAGTTCTTAAATAGAAAATAGACTATATTTATGATGTGTTATTATCAGGTAAATGCATGTAGAACCTAAATAAAAATAGTTATTCATTATAATAAATTTACAAAATCATGTTTGCAAATTTGAACCTAGCTTCCCTCAAGAGACTCATACTATAACATTGTAATTTTAAGCCCCTCATCTCCACGACTGTGAGACTTTGTGCTCAAATTAATGGAAAAAGGTCACGTGCCTCATGCGTTAGTTACCCCTCCATCTAAAATCACCATGTCACTCCACACATCAGCAACTTAATCTGCCATGGCATGCCAAATTATCCAATCTTCATCCAAATAACTCTCACTTCAAAAAAAAAAAAAAAAAAAAAAAAAAAAAAAAAAATTAAACTTCTATCCCTCTTCATCTTCCGCCTTAGTCAGCCACCTCTTCATTTTTTTCTCGTCCTTGTCCTCCTCCTCTAGACCTGGCAAATAGGTCAAATTGGATTGGTTTGGATCGGGTTATTTTGAGTATCGGGTTAAGGAGGTTAACCCATGACTCATCTACACGGGTTTTGAATTAGGTCGAGTGGACCCAACTTTTAAAAAATTAAAATTAAAATTAAAATTTTTCTATATTTTTCTCTATTTTTCTTTAACAAAATCTAA